GCTAACAATTCCTCTTCAAGATCTATATCTTGTGGTTCTGCAACATAATTTGGTTGAGGAGCACGTGACAATGTATCGGCAACAACCATAAGTTTACCAGGTGTATACTCAGCATGACAATTATATTTCATAAGACGTATCAAAAGCCTTTGACATCGTAGTGGAGCATCACATAAATCTTTAGAATTAATCAATGGTACGAGAGGTTTATGGTCAGTTTGTATTATTACTTTGAGTCCTCTAAGGTAAGTATAAAAACGATCACATGACCATACAGAAGCCAAAAGTTCTTCTCAATTTGAGCGTATTTCCTCTCAGAAGACGTTAATGTACGCGAACAATATGCAACAGGTCGCCATGTTCCATCACTCTGACATTGAAGTACACAACCTCCAATCCCATAAGCACTAGCATCAGCACTGACCATAGTTGGTTTTCCTGGATCATAAAATGCCAATGTTGGTGTAGAAACTAAAAGTTTCTTAAGATGGCTAAATGCTTTCTGCTGATCAGGACCCAATATCCAATCAACGTTATCTTTCAACAAATCATTTAGCGGTACAGCTATAGTAGATGAATGAGGAATAAATCTAGAAACCCAATTAATCATTCCCATGAAGCGTTTAACATCCGACTTTGAAGTTGGTACTGACATATTTACAATTGCTGCAATTTTAGCAGAATTAGCTTGTAGACCATCCTTATTAAGGGTATGTCCAAGAAATTTTACTTCAGTTTTTGACAGGTAAGATTTCTCCCTATTTAGACGAAGACCCATGTTGTAAATAGTATCTATAACTTTATGCAGACGATCATCATGTTCTTCCTGAGTACTCCCTGTAACTAAAACATCATCAATATAAACAACTACTCCTGGAATATGAGCTAACATATCACTCATAATTCGTTGATACATCTTTGGCGCTGAAGTTATCCCAAAAGGTAAACGCTGGAAACAATATCTTCCCAATGGAGTGATAAATGTTGTAAGTTTTTGACTATTTTCTTCAATAGGGATTTGCCAAAATCCTTGCTTAGCGTCTAATGTTGAAAACAATTTTGCTCCTGTAATCTTCCCAATTACATCCTCTATTGTTGGAATAGCAAAACGTTTACGCACAACACATTTATTAAGATTTCTCAAATCCAAACACAAACGAATTTGACCATTTTTCTTTGGAGCAATTACAATTGGAGCACACCAATCTGTTGGTTCTCGGATTCGTTTAATTACACCTTGCTCTTCCATACGAATTAATTCCTGTTCCACCTTTGGTAGTAACGGTATTGGAATGCGACGTGGAGTATGTACGCAATGCGGCACAGCATCAGTTGCAATTTTAATTTTACCTGGTAGACCTTTAAGACATCCTAAACCTTCAAATACGTTAGTAGATAATGTATTAACTCGCTTTATTAATCCCAGAGATTCACAAACATCTTTACTAAGTACAGGCTCCAAGACAAGAAAATTTACCATAGTTCTACATCCTTTTACTGTACAATCCAATGTTATTTCTCCTAGAGGTATAACCTCGCCTCCAAAGAATCCAATCAATCTCATAGAATTAGGTTGTAAAGACTTATTTTTCAAATTCAGCATATCAAAAACAGATTTTGGTAAGATATTCACTTCTGAACCAGTGTCTACTGTTCCAAGTAGAAGTGTATTCTCATCCAAATCACTACTGCTATCAGGCACATACTGTTGCACAGCTTTTAAATGTTTTTTATGCATTTTTGCTTTACAAACACGTGAAAAGTGTCCAATCTTCAAACAAAAGTGACACTTTTTACCTTTCGCAGGATTTATTATTAAGAAATTAAATGAAATTGAACATAAATTAAAGTTGACAAATAGAAAATAAAGATTAAGTCTATGAATGATTTTACCTTTGTTTTTTAAATTTTTCTTTCATAGGCCTACAGTATTCTATTTAAAAAAAATGTTTAATGTTGTTATTTCCGTTTTAACTTTTATTAATTCATGCAATTCAGTCATGTGCTGCAATAGGCCTAGCCTATGCATTTTACTAGAAGATTAAATACTTCATTGTACAAAAAATTTTACTGTAAGTCATTGTCAATGCTATCCCGGTATTAAAAGTTTATAAATTTACAAAAATCAAAAATTGGGAAAAAAAAGTAGACCCCCTAAAAAATAAGACCAGCAAAAATAACCATCCATACCCCCCTCACCAAATGCATTTCCACCCCATTACCTACCCTCCCACCACCTTCCCATCTGTCCCCACAACCCACTCACACATGCCCTGATGATTCTACTTTCTGATGATTAAAGCCTGTCACACTGGTCAAGCAACCCATCAACAGAAGAATAAATTGACTATCAAAAAGTGGAAATTTATTAAAATGTGCACAAGCTACCCCTGCCTCAGTTTGCAAACTGTGCAGAATCTTCAAATTGTGCAAAGAAATCCTTGCAGAGTCTGCAAATTGTGCAAGAAAGAGCTTGTACAATTTGAAAAATGTGCAAAAGTCTACTGTACATAGTTACTAAACAACTCATATTTGTCGTATTACTGATAAATTACTGAGAAAACTAAGAAAAAGTGGCCCGAAAATCTTCATCTTGTCCTGTTTGTTTATAATTTCACAGCTGTTATCCTGTACAGGTACGTGTAATTTAAGGCAAGACTTTTTATACCAGTGAACCCGCAGACTACAATTGATTTCGAATAAAAGTACAATATTATTTTTGGCCAATTAGCACACCCACCACACATTTCAGAAAAAAAATTTTTTCTTACTTCTTTATTACGCCCTCCCTGCCTTCAGATCTCCAAAGATAAGACGTGTATTTCTTTCTAATTATATAAATTTGAAGCATTTAACCATCCTATTTTACATTTACCAATAAAATTTTATTTTTATTTTCCCCTCCGTCTGGATAATTTTGGCAAAACTGCTAAATACTGTAAGAAAACAAAATTTTATTTATTTTTTATTCCGCCCTCCTCTGATAATCTTTAAAAAATGGGGCCGTTCAGGAAACAAACCTGTGGGTTTGAAGGGTTACAGTGTATCCTTTGCTCTTCTTTCCCCTTGTCTTTTCTTTCTTCTTGTCTTTTCTTTCTTCTTGGTTTCCTTTTGATGTATGTCCTCTTGATCCATTTTCCCTTCTTTGTCTTTTCTTTTGGTTACTTTACTACTGTAAAAAAAAAAGGAAGAAAAAGAAAAAAAAATGTTATTGACCAAAATGTCTTAGAGGCTATTTTCGGGCATGCCACTGGACCCCCTAGGGTGGTGTTATCTCGATCGGCCCACTTTCATCCACCTTTCGGTCTGCCCTTTTGGACATCTCTGGATCCGCCCCTGTACAGATATTCGAAGTTGGACCTGATTGTCAATCCCTAATATTGTGGTCTAAAAGCATTAATTTAGGGCCAACAACAATAGCAGTTCCTTACGGTACTTTTGTTGTCAATGGTAGCTGTCCTCATGTTGAAGACCTTTGCCATCATTGACCCCAGATGACATATTAAACAGTATAATAATAATACTGAAAATGTTACCTTTCAGAGTCTTCGTTTTCCTCACTCAGAAAAATGAAAACTTGGAAAAACGAAGACTCTGAAAGGTAACATTTTCACTAACATGCAGATAACGGAGTCAGATAGTAGTATGCTGTTAGTATAATTATAATTAATAATAATAAAACTGTATTAGCTCCTGACAGATCAAAGATCCCTCTAAAACTAAGTGCTTGATATACAGCCTGGCACTCACTGCGTTGTATGGCAATCATATGACCATCGCACAATGAATACAAATCTGCTAACCGTGAGCACTAGACGACACAACTCAGTCTGCTGGTTGTCGGTGGCAATCTAATCGGATCGTCATTAAAAACGATCGGTTGCGTTCTTCATATAACTGACAATTGTTGGGAGCAGTGAGTGTCCAGCTTAAGTCTTAAAACTATCCCCCCGTCGGACACCAACCCGGTATTTCTGAGTCAAGGCTTAAAACTATCCCCCCGTCGGACACCAACCCGGTTTTTCTGAGTCAAGGCTTAAAACTATCCCCTGTTGGACACCAACCCGGTATTTCTGAGTCAAGGTTTCCGGGTCGGGATTACAAAATAGGACAATTAAAAATCACTTTCAAATAATTGTGGTAAAAAACTGGACACCATCCCAGTATTTCTGAGTCTAGATTTCGGGGCTGGAATTTTAACAACAGTATTTTTAAATTTGTAAGTCCTACACTTAACTAGCATTAAACTACAGTATCCCCCGCTGAACACCATCCCAGTATTTCTATGTCAAGGTTTCAGGGCAGAAATTACAGACTTTTAGCACTGGTTTATGCTGTGTCACTTTCTTGTCAGATTGATGATCTTTGCTGTGGTATGTTGAACTTTCTGCAGTTTGGCAATCTCGCAGTATGGTAAGCCATATGAAAGACTGTTACAGTCGAGGCGCAAGCGAAAAAATGCGTGGATGAGCTTTTCAAATGCGTGGATGAGCTTTTCAGTAGATGCTCTGTCAAGGTACTTGCGAACTTGACCTATTTTTCTGAGAGCAAGGTTAGCAGCCTTACAGATTCTATTTCAGTGAGATGACATATTGAGCTCGTCATCAATTGTAATGTCAAGATTGTGTGCTGATGAAACGGTATGAACAGAATCTGAGCCAAATTGAATGTGATTAATTTTCTTAGTGCGACGCATGGACCTAGAATACATCATTATTATTAAGTGAAAAAATTATATACTGCAGTACTATTATAGCTAGAGAATCTAGAACTTGTAACGCCAGATTGGAACCCTGGCCTGTGCGATCCCTCCAGGTCAAATGGATCCCAAAATTCATCGATGGACAGGACCGTTCATCTCCCTGATCAGAGAACACTGTCCCTAATGATTACACATGCTAATCTCAAATTCACATAAAATATTTCCTAATGAACTCTACTCTTTTAAGTTGTGTTGATGGCTCTCTGAAGAATGGAATTAGTTGGTCTTCCTATGGCTTTAGTTTTGACACTAAGGTAAGAGTCTTATTACAAGGATCATTATTATCTTCATGGGTACAATGTGCAATCCAGTTTTACTGCTGTTGGTAGAATTCCATTAAAGAGTTGTATCATGTATGTGTGATTGTGTAGAGTTTCATTTTACTGATGACGTACTGATAGTCGGTAATTCCTATCCTTCATTAGTTCATCTTCTTATCACTTTCACTTTCATTTGAGTTCATTTGCTGATCTGGTGTTTGTGTGTTTACACATTTGAAGCCATTTATTACCATGACCATGACTGTTTAGGGAACTATGCATTGGCATACAGTATCTGTTTTTTGACATGGTAAGATTGGACAATGGGCATATTTATTGTTGAATTAGGGATGAAGGAACTTTAGAATTTTATTAATACTTTGGTTTTGAATGTTCTTAATTTAAAAGCAAGTATTTAAAGCACTTTCATGTGTGTATTTTCAATAAGGAAAATTTATAAATGTCAGTGGTTACGTAATATGCATGGGTACTCACAACAAAATGGATAAAAAAAGTCTGTTCTAAAATCCCTAATTTTATAAGAGGTTATGATCAACAGTAGTAGGAGTATATAGAGTCTGTGTGTTTTTGTTTTTGTTTTAAATGAAAATAACAGACATACAGTACAGAGAGACATTTGATATCAAAGTTTCTACTAAATTGAAGTTAATGATTTCAATTATTATTTTTTTCAGTTTGTCAAAAGTTTGGAGTTTTGGAAGATGGTGTTCTTGCTCACACACTACAGGAAGAAGAATGTAAGTGAAGTATAAGAAATATGTTATGAGTTATAAAATTTGACACTTATGACACAGTATTTCTTGTTACGGACTGGAAATCTTTGAGTATATAACCAGTTGTATCTCTTTAACTATATAAAATATTAGATTTAAGTGTATTTAATGTTAACATATACCTAAGGTTGAATAATGGAAGGAAGAAAAAATTATAATTTGCTTTTTTTTATTTATGATAAAAATTGTATGCTCCACATTTGTGACCCAAGCTCACTGTATTAAGAAACAAGCCAAGCTACGCCAGTCTTGTGCCATTGTGTGAACATACCCGTTTTCAGCTTAACTGGGTGTGTGTTTTTTTGTTTCCATGAGGTTATCAGACAGAGTGGTGAAATGCATGGTCATATTAAATGCATGAATGATTACCAATAATGTACCAGGCATTGTTGACACTGTATAGGTGTGTTTTCACTGAAAATCAGGATAGAAATGGTTCTATCAGTGGTTGATTATCGGATTAGCAAGATCCATCTTGTAACTGTTTATTGCCAATAGCTGTAATACCACAAGAAAATCACTAAAAAAAGGTGATCTTATTCCTAAGCCTAATCTTGAAATATTTAAAACTTCACTTAGCTATAATGCTCCTTACAGTACCTACATTCTTTTCCAACGATTATTTGTTCTGCTTTCTCATCTCTTCTTTCAAATCTAACCTCCAGAGTAACCTTTCATCCAGTCTTGTGTACTGTAATTTTCCCTGTAGCCATTTCTTTTTGTTGCAGTACAGTATATTGCTTTGTTTTTTTTTTAAAGTAAAATATTTATTATAAATCTGTAAATCTAATTTTTATATAGTGGTATGAGAAAATGAAGTTAGATCACTTAAAATTTCAACTTTAAAATTCCTTGGGAAATAGTGGTGGTGCCAGCAGGGCCAGGTGGAATTCCCCCAACCATCAGACAGACCTTGACCCCTGACATGCGATGTCAACAACAAGGTTATTATTATTTATTCAGGCAAAAGATACAATATACAAAGTATAATACAAATTTAAAAAAATAAAGCGAACATAACATTGAGATGTACATTAAATAGACCATAGTAATTAACTGCCAGAAAGCACAAAGGAGCCTAAACCACTGTCACCGAATAGGTGTATACCTCCAACTAATGACTACCTGTACTTAGATAATACAAATAATATAAATGACATAGAAAAACGAAAGTGACTAAAGCATTACATTATAATATTAAGCCTAAGATATATCCATAGATGCAATTATAATTGAAATATTAAATTAGTTATACAAAGTTATTAACAAAATATAAAAAGTTAAAACATAGCTTGCACATTCAGCCTATTGAAAATATGGAACAAATTTGAAATTATTTCATTTTTAATGTAGTTAACTATCAATAGCTTAGGCTTATTTATCATGATTTGATTCACCACGTAAATAAAGGGGTGGGGTGAATAGGGTGGCTAGCCACCCTCCTTTGGTGACTGAAAAAAAAAATAGTCACTCGTCTTGTGTGTGTGCTTCTCATGTATACATGTTACGTACATGATTCCAATTAAAATAACAATTGTAATAATAACATTTATTGATAATCATCAAACCAATCATTTGAACTTAATTAAACTAAGCTAAAACCAAATATTTGATAATAATTTTTTTTTGTGGTACATTTCCATTTGTTTTTGATGAACAAAATTATAATTAGGCACTAAAATTTACTTGGTACTACTTTGATTAAGAATTCTAATGGATAGTGTTACGATTGAATTGAGAAATGTATTTGTTAATTATACTTCCACAATTATTAAATTACTGTCCAATTGAATTTATTAAATTAAACTCTATATTGAAGTTAAAGGGGGGGGGGGTGCGGGGATGAAATGATTAATTTTTAATTTAAAATAGAGGGATGAGCGGCCACACTGACAGTGACGGCACTCGATTTTGGAGCGCGGTATTTGAAAACGAGGCTTGTAAACTGGGTCCCAAAAAAAAAAAAAAAACTGGTGCTACAGGATTTTGAGCTAGTGTTAAAAGATAGGGAATTTCCTAAAATGTACAGACTTTCAAAGGCTTGCATTTTTTAACCCCATAAAAAATCGTGTCAAACTTCAGATAATTCAATGTAAATTTGGCCGTTCTTTTCATTTATATGGGTTTTCACTTTAGAAAATGTCTCAATTTTGTGTAAAATAACAGTTTGCCCCAGTTATTATTTCGGAAATTTGCACTAGACAGGGAGTCAGCTGATTCACTCAACCGTAACGAGCTGGTAACAACACAGCCAACTGATGAGAATGGTCGTCGCCAGTGGAAAATTGAAAAATTAGGACTGGCGAAAATATTTAATAATAATAATATAATAAGTTGAAGGCATTTTTGAAGAATGAATCTTTCAAAAAGATATGTTTGCTGGTTTGGATAAGGAAGTCTTGGAAGTGGTGATCTTATAAGTGGCGTTAAATAGGTTTGTTACCGAACTTGTCTTACCTGTGTAGGCATAACCTAGCATTAAGTGCAGTAGGCCTACCGTATTTATGTAGAGAATACGGAATACTACTCTACTGCCTGGCACGACCTAGGCCTAGGCCCCTAGTTTAGGCCTAGTCATACGAAAGATAATAATAATACTTCAAACATTAGACAAACAAACAACACTATTTTAAATAAAGTACATTAATTTACCTGTTTATTATTATATCCATGGAACTATCTAGGACCTACTACTACTACAGTATTACTAAAATGCCAGTTTATTCGTCGTGGAAAATAGTCTATTATACATACATTGTAATTGTCTTCATTTGTAATTTTTAAACTAATTTATATTTTTATATTAAAAAAAGTATTATATTAATGAAATAATTAATTCTATTCAAAATAATTGTTTAGGTTGTGGCTATGTTACACCACTTTGCAATGCATTTGAATATAGGCTTTTCACAGTGATGGTTAATTAAAATATTTTCAACAAAATTTATCATTGATGATTAGTGCTAGAATGATTAATTCCTTATAAAGATATTGTAATATCAATACTAATTATTTTTGAATGGTCTAATAATAGTCACTCTGATTTTTTTAAACTAGTCTGTTCAAACTTTTTATTGTACGTCTCTTCTTACAGGAAATGTCGACATGTTGGATATCGATGGCTTTCATTTGGTAGGCTAAAGAAATCTGACAGAAGGGTCATACCATCTTGCACTGTGTGATCGATTTGGGACAAGTTCCCAGAAACTGTGAAGACTGCCCTGGGTTTTTTGATGCTATAGATGATGATGATGATGTGTTGAAAGAATTACTTATAAATTGTTATGGAAGATACCTGATAAGTCCATCCTCATTAATGCAACAGATCTTTGTAGAGGATTCATTCTTGATAATTCATGCGACATCTGTGATCTGTTTTTTTGACAATCTCATCACTCATAAAAGGAAATTTTATCAGCATTGGCCTAGAGCTTTTGTATATCTGCACCAGTCAATTGTGTGTCACCTTCCAGACCTAGTCTGTAATTGAAATTGTTGCTATTGATGCAGATAGGCCTGCAAAATTGATTTCAAGAACATTTTGTTGTTATTAAAGTACAGTACAATGTTTTTTGTATCTTCCCCACTCTCATCTCATATTTTATAATTTGAAGCTAATACAGTATGAATTAGAATTTTGTGTACAGTAAATAAATGTAACTTGTTCTTCCCTAATTTTTACATTGGTATAAACTAACTATAAATCCATATATTTAATATTTTGATAATAGAGTGTGTTAATTGCAGTGATATATATTGTAATACCTGACTGCTTCAATGTTGCTTTATTCTGTGTACAGTAAAACAATTTTATATTAACTGTGAGAAAATACACTTGTAATAAATTATTTGCCATGTACAAGGATGATAAATTGCGTTTCAAAATATTTATTTAGTAACACCAGTAGTCTTGAATTTACTGTATGTACAACAATAATCAATAACCAAGTTAAGCACCAAAAATATGGATGTTGAATATCATCATGAAAGAAGAAATCTTGGCTATGGTAAATAATACAAGACAATCAGACATGATAAATAAAGCAGTGCAGTTAAAATTGCCTAAGACGACGAATAATATACAGTACTCTAATAATTTCTAAGTCGATCGTTGAATTTTCCATTACCGTAAGTGCAAGTCAAATTTTGTTAAGGTCAAACAATTTCTCAATGGCATTTTGGATAGGCAAGTTCAACTATATATTTCAAAATGGTGTACAAGAAAAAAATTGAAGCTTTCTCTTCTAATACCAAATTGATCAGCATGCAGACTGACATACGCATAATCCAGGCATTAAAAAATACAGTAAGCAGATTCATGGAATAACTTTACACAAGACTGTACAAAGCCATACATTAAAATAGTTGTTCCTGTATATATATTGAGCCACATTTTCATACTGTATTATCAACTTCGCACATTACATATTTCAAAATTAATCCTCACAATTTGTTTTATAATTCTGGGTCACATATTTGCTTCAAAAGAATTACTATTGAATGGGATTACACTGTTTTAAAAGAAGAAAGTAGAGCACTTCATAATACCATTTACTAATATTAAAGATATTTTGCAAGTAAAACAGGTACAGTAATAACTGATACTGTACAGTATTTATTTATTTATTATAAATTTGGCATGCAATATAAACCAGATGCGTAAAACAAAGTGTGTGGCATTTCAGTATATCTTCAGAGAAAAAAATCACTAGATAAATCATTTTAATTCAATTTTTTGAAATATTTTGGCCTCAATCAATTGCTGCAGAGCTCTGAGCATCGCCACCTTCTGCTAACCATGGCTTGGACATGTCTATTTCATCATGTCCACACAGATGAAACTGTTAGCATTAAATCCATTCGAGCCTGTCATTTGCTCCTATTGAGGAATAAATATACAGTAGTTACAATAATGCATTTTTAAAAATCAAAAATTTTATCAAACATTGGCATTTGCTGCTTTA